GGAGTCTCGCTCTGTCGCCCAGGCTGGCCATCCTGGCTACACAGTGAACCCTGTCTCTAACAAAAATTACAAAAAATTAGCCGGCGTCGGTGGCATGTGCCTGTAGCCCAGCTATTTAGGAGCTGAGGCAGGAGAACTGCTTGAACCCGGGAGGCGGAGGTTGCAGTGAGCCAAGATCGTGCCACTGCACTCCAGCCTGGGCAACAGAGTGAGACTCTGTCCAAAAAAAAAAAAAAAACAACAAAAACCAAAAACAACAAACGCTCCCCGCCCCCAGAAATGGCAGTGCTTTTAAGCAACCCCCAGTAGGGGGCGCATTGCTTGAACTCAAAATCGCCATCAGAGTAGACCCAGGTTCCGGTTGAGGCACCCATCAGTACTACTCCAAACGAGGGTAACTTAATGGCAAAAACTCCAGTAACGGCCTCCCCCAAGAAGGCTGAGGCAGCAGCTGAGAGCTATTTCCTTTTCTTGGTTTCAATTCCTCCTCCAAAGTCCACGCCTTCCACTTCCTGTTAGTCTTTAGTGTCTTTCCTGCCAAGAAGCTCCCTAATTTTTTGGCTTGAGCTTGCCCCAGGGTCCCACTTTTTTCAGACATGGAGATTCCCTACCTGCCCTGCCCGGAGTAAGGGCCATTCAGCTGGGAAAATACCAAAATACCAACGACCTTGGGGAAGGCCTAGGAAACCCCAAGCACCGAATGAGGGTTGACTTCTGCGGGACTTTGCTGGGGCAGCAGCCTGTTGCTTCTGATCCCTTGGGTGTATAAAGGGAACCAAGATTCATTAAGTGACATTATAATTACAGGCATCATAATGCTTACCATTTAAGAGATATTTATTCTTTCCTTTTACAAATCCTCGGGTAAATGTCCAATTTAAATGAGGTTACCAGGGCTCAGATTAGAGATTTGCTGTTCACACAGCATATTGGATGGCGGAACCTGGATTCAAACCTGTTCTTCTACGCCCATATCCAAGGACACCTGCACCTCCCAGGTGTGAACCCTTGGGCCACTGGCTTCCTGAGACTAGAAGAATAACTAGATCCCCTTTCTCCAAGCCCACAACTCTCAGTGTGCTCGACCCTCGATCCTCAGACGTTTTCTGCGGTCCTAAGGCCTCAACTGGTCACTAGTGGGCTGCTTCATCTGGTGAGGAGGGTTTTGGAGGCTAGATCCAGTACTAACACCAAGTGTGGTCCTTGTTAATAGAGAGAGTCAATCTGAGCAGGGGGTTTACAGCACAGAAACTAAGAATTCTTTTATTCTGAGGGGGACCGGGTCTCACTCTGTTACACACAGTGGAGTATGAGAGGCACACACAGCTCATTGCAGGCTTGACCTTCAGCGTCAAGCATCACATACAACACAAGCCAATCGGCCTTCGGGTAGCTGGGACCAGCAGGCCATGCACCGACCCTCACACGCAGCCGCAATTTTTATTTTTTGTATGAGGCAGGGGTCTCGCCATCGTTGTCCAGGCTGCCTAACAGATTATTTATTGGTGAGCATTATTTTGATTGGTAGAGTTTTTCGCCTTCTTGTCGCCCAAGCTGGAGTGGCAATGGCAATGACGCGTGGCTCACCCTGCAACCTCCGCCTTCCCTTGGGCTTCTAAGTGAGATTCTCCTGTCTCTGGCCTCGCAGACGTAGGCTGGCATACAAAGCACGCTAAAGCCACCATGCCCAGCTAATTTTTGTATTTTTAGTAGAGATGGTTGCACCCGTGTTTGGCCAGGCCTGGTCTCACACTGACCTCAAGGTGATTCGCAGCCGCCTTGGCCTCCCAAAGTGCTGGGATTACAGGTGTGAGCCCCACCGCCCGGCCAGATTAAGTTTTTTATAGAGATGGAGAAGGACGTCTCACTGTTACCCCAGGCTGGTCTTGAACTCGCTGGCTCAAGCAGTCCCTTCCTTCCCTCATCCTCACAAAGTGCTCTAGCATTACAGGTGTAAGCCCACTGTGGCTCAGCCTGCACTACGGATTTTTAATGTTGACAAAGCGTCTTGGAACTAGTTACTTCCTTAGGATTTACTGCTGTAGAAAATATTTATGCCTCTTTCATTTCTCCTACCTCCATATCTTCTAAGCAACCTTGGTTTCTGCCATCTACAGTACTCTAGCCAGAAATCGGATTCCTGGCTACTGGCAAGAGAGAGTACAGTGAGCTCCAACATTAGTTATGTTCTACTAAGGGAAGAAAGCAAAAACTCAGCTGGACATGGTGGCAGGTGCCTATAGTTCCCAGTCTACTCCGGAGGTCAGGGGCTTTGAGTACAGCCATGCAGCACACAGTGAGACCCTGTCTCTAAAAACTAAAATTAAAAATAAAAAAAGAGCAAAAACGGTTTAACTAGTCAAAATTACACCTACAACCCCTTAATAACTCATGAAGGTGAGAATTGCATACATGCTTGTCCAAATATATCAATTAATCTATCTTTGGTTTTACCAGTAACCAGAAGTGGTCAGGGGCCCACCCCTGAGCAGCCCAATTAGTATACTATCACGAGTACCCTGAGCTCTTAGGGCAGCCCATTTTAGTGAAAAAAAAACCCGAAGTGCTGATGACTGAACGACCTGTGGTTTTCAAAATTCTCACTGTGACTCACAGTCAAAAGACATTTCTATAATCCAGTCATGATGTGGCATTTGTAACTAATATACATTCAAACCCAACACTACCCTTTTTTTTTTTTTTTTTTTTGAGGCGGAAATGTGTCTCGGCTCTGCGGCCCGCGCTGGAGTGCAGTGGCGCCCGATCATCGGCTCACTGGCACGCTCCGCCTCCTGGGGTTCCCGCCATTTCCTTGCTCACACTCCCCAGTAGCTGGGACTCAGCAGGGCCGCAACCCACCCCGCCCTGGCTAAGTTTTTTGTAATTTTAAGTAGAGACCGGGGTTTCACTGTGTTAGGCCAGGATGGTCTCGATCCTCCCTGACGCTCGTGATCCGCCCCGTACTCGGGCCTCCCAAGAGGCTGGGGACCTTACACGGCTTGAGGGCCACGCACCGCCCCTTGCCAACCACTTACCCCTTAATAGATGCGATGGCACTCTGATACTATTCAATTTTGCTTAAAAAATTGCCTGGTGTCACATAAAGCACACATATAACGAACAATGCCACAGATGTCACACGCAACATACAGTTGCAGCAAGTCTGAAAGAGGTGGGTGGACTATACCAATGACCGATGGTTTGGTCTTTTTTTCTTGGGCTGTGAGTAGCTAACACAACAATTTATACAAGATGTTAGCATGGCGGGGAAACCAAGTGGGAAGGTATAGCAGGATCTCCTCTGTATTGTTTCTTACAACCATGAATTTTAAAATCTATTATCTCAAAACAATCAAGTTTAGGAAAACAAAAATGCTGGTTGTTCGATATAGTCCAGGTTATGTC